AGTGACCTACCCAAGGTCACACAATTGGTAGATGTCTGAGTAAGGATGAAGAGAGATTCAACAGGGAAGACTGAGACTTCATGGAGGAGGTGACACCTAAAATGAGCCTTAAATGATTTTAATGGTTAGGGATGAGGACAGAGTACATCAAAGTCCTGGGGCACTGTCTATACAGGGACAACTAGATGTAGTACTGGACAGAGCTCTGGGCTTGGAATTAGTAAGACTTGATTTCTAATCCATCCTCAGACACTTACTAGCTGTGTGATCTTGGATAAGTCACTTAATTTCTGTTTGCCTCATTTTCTAAACTGTAAAATGAAGATGTCAATAGCATCTACTTGCCAAGGTGATTGTGAGGGTCAAATGAGAGAATATTTATAAAGCACTTAGCACAGTGTCTGGCACGCAGCAGGCACTCTGTAAATGCTAGCAATGATCATGATGATGCTGATGCAAATATGGGAGATAGCACATTGAATTTAGGGACTAGGCAGTACTCTTGTTTAGCTGAAACATAGAGTACAAGAAAGGGAATTATGAAATAAACTGTATGATTAGGTTGGAGCTGGATCATGGAGTTCTTAAATTCCAGTTTATATTTTTTCCTCATAAGTACTTGGGAGTCACTGAAATTTCTTGAATTGTGGACTACATGGTTAGAACTGAAGATCATCCTCTCTTCTCTGGGCCCACTGAATGTGACATTCAGAGCACAAGATTTGAGCATAAGTCTGGTGGAATTAGTAAACCAGCAATCATCATTGACTAACTCTGAATTTCCAAAATATCAGTGCCTCTTGATGTGGGATTTACCTGACAAAGGAGAACCTTGCTGATCTTTATACTCTAAGGAAGGACCTGTCTTTCAAAACTCACCTTCTGAGTACAGGATGGATTTTTAACTCTCCCTGTCACCTCTGATCTCATAGGTTGTAGCTGAGACTTGGTGGGTTTGTGACACATTAGAATATAGTAGCAGAAGGAATGCCTTATTCAAAAGGAGATAAATGGGCAGTAAAGTAACATACATTAAAAAGATATCCATCCATCTAAGTTGAGAGAAGGCAAATGTCTTGATTTCCAAAAATGAAAGAGGGTAAAAACTTCAAAATAAAGGCTAGTGGGATTGACTGATTCTTGACAAAATTCTAAATGGTATTAATAAAGGCATTGTTTGTGAGCACTTAGGAATATATAGGAGCCATCATGGCTTCATTAAGGACAAATCATGTGAAGCATTTCCTTTATTGACTGGTGGAGGTGGGGGGGGTGGAATAAGCATTTATGTAGAGCCTATTATATGCCAGGCACTATCCTAAGTGCTTTTACAAATATTATCTGCTTGGATTACTACAGCATTACTAGGTTAGTAGATTAGGGTAATTCTATGGACCATGGATCCCTGAATTTCAGTAAAGCATATGTCAAAGAGTCTAGCATTTTCCTCGAAAACAAAATGAAAGTGTGTGGAGAAGATCATAGTGGATTCAGAGCTGGCTCAATGACTCAATAAGTAGATATTAATGGATGGGTGTGAACCTAGAAGGATGTTTCTAGTGGAGTGCCCCAGGGATCTCTTGGGCAGTTCAGTATTTTTATTAACAACTTGGATGAAAGCAGAGATCTCATGCTGATTAAATTTGCGGATGACACAAAGCTGAGGGAGGACTGCTACTGTGGTAGCAAATTCTGGATCTAAAAAGATCTTTGTTGGCTAGAACAATGGCTAAATCAAATTAGTTTAAACTTGAGGTAGTTATATGCAAAGCATATAAATTGTTTAAAAATAAATCACATACAAGTACAGCATGGTGAAGACGGATTGTACTAAGTGATATCTATACCAATTGACTTTCTGTGTTTCCAAAGCATAAACACATAGTAAGTGTTTAATAAATGTATTGTTTACTAACATTTGTATGAAATTTGCCTGAAAAAGATCCAGGGGGTTTAATAGTCTATAAGCTGAATATAAGTCAACTGTGTATTGGGTCAGTAAAAAAAAAATTGTCAACATACACTTCTTAAGTACCCACTATATGAAAGGTACAGCTAGGTGGCACGGCGGTTAGAGTGCCAGGTCTGCAGGTCAGGAAGACTCATCTTCTTGAGTTCAAATCCAGCTTCAGACACTTACTGGTTGTGTGATCCTTGGCAAGTCTCTTAACCCTGTTTGCCTCAGTTTCCTCATTTGTGAAATGGCAAACCATTCCAATATCTTTGCCAAGAAAACCCCAGTGGGGTCATGAGTCATTGGACACAATTGAAACAATTGAACGACAACAAACATTTAGATATCTTTAAGGTTTGCAAAGCACTTTATACACATTAACTCATATAATTCTTACAACAACCTTGTGGAGTAATTGCTAATTACTATCTTCCTTTTAAAGATGGGGAAACTGGAGCTGAGAAAGTGTAAATGACTTGCACAGTCATACAGTTAATAAATATCTTGAACAGAATTTGAACTTGATTCCCAATCCAATATTCTATGCATTGTGCCACCTAGCTGCTGTAAAGGGGATTCTCATTCATGTCCAAGTTTGATGATCATTCTTCTGAGGACCCTTTCTAGATTTAAGATTATGTGCTTCTGTGATTCTGTAATTTGACAAGCATATCTTTTACATCTGATGTAAGCTAGTTAGACTGTACTTCTTCCCCCAAAGAGAGGAGATGTGGTACGTGAACAGCTAGAATGACTTATGAGTCTATTAAATATATCTCCTAACACAAAACAAATCTTACAAATCTGTTTGTCTTTCAATGGCATGTTTGCTGTATTCACAGTACTGAGGGTCTGATTATCCTGGGTTGGTGCCTTTGGAAAGACATTTCTGCTGTCTTTGTCTACATCTGTCTAAAGTCTCTCCGAACCATCTGAAATAAGCCTTTAAAGTGCTGGGTCGCATGACAGGGACTTTTTTGTGTGTTGCTTCATCTCTTAGAAACAGAACCAGTATTTGGACCTGGCGTGGCAGTAAGGCCACTAGAATATATGCCTCCTCAATAATCTTTGCCCACAAGGTTGAATTCAGAGTTAGATAAATGGATTAAGTGTCTCTTTCTTTCTCTGTATCTTAAGATCCACCCAGGAGCAAAGGGACAAAATGCCTTCCTGTAAGTTGTGGATGATGCTAAACAGGATAGAGCCAAGGAATTTCCAGTCTAGACCACTGTGTGGTCTTGGATAAGTCCTACCTCTGAGCCCCATTGTTCTCAACTTTGAAAGGAGCAAGTTGGAATAGATTACCTCTTAAAAAGATAGTCCAGATCTAATATTGTCGTTTTGCATATCCTGAGTTTATTTTTTAAAAATGGAATAAACTATGTGGCCTTAATGAAATTATTTAGCATCTCAATTCATTCAATTCTCTTTCATTAATATCTGAGTACTTCAAAACTCTGGTTTAGAAGCAGCTAGATGGTAGAGCAGATAGAGTGCTGGGACTGAGGAAGAACAGAATTAAAATCCAGCCTCAGCCCCTCACTAGCTGTGAAACCCTGCATAAGTCACTTTACCTCTGTTCGCCTCAGTTTTCTTCAATTATAAAATGGGGATAGTAATAGCACCTATCTCCTAGGGTTGCAGTGAGAATTCAATGAAATCGTATTTGTAAGGGGCTCAGCATAGTGCCTGGCATATAGTGGTGCTTAATAAATGTTTCTTTTCTTTTCTTCCTTCCTTCCTTCCTTCCTTCCTTCCTTCCTTCCTTCCTTCCTTCCTTCCTTCCTTCCTTCCTTCCTTCCTTCCTTCCTTCCTTCCTTCCTTCCTTCCTGTTCTGGGGAAAGAAGTAATAGAGGTTTCTTGGTAAATAGACTAGATGAAATCAGTTCACAGTCTGATCTGAGAATGAAGCAGAGAAGACATTGGCTATAATACTTGATAAACAATATTTATTGTCAGTTTTTGTGGAATCCAGTTTTCAAAATTTGCCAAATGCCCTCAAGGGAACAGCAATAATCTTGAGTATCACAGTTGATCAAAAAGATCATACAGTTGTAATATACATTTTCTGTCCCCTTTCCTTATAGATAATGTTCTCCAAAATGGAAAGGCTGGTTAAATGCAGACGTGGTCTGCAGCCACATGCCAGGGCCGCATTGCCTCCACTTTTTTCTAGCCTAAAATAGTTGTCAAGCAGATATCTTTCTTTTTAGTTGGAGTTAGAATCCAAGATGTTTGCTATTTGGACAAAAATGTTGTCAATTTCCATTCTTCAAAGACAACCACCTTATCTATTGGCTAGGGAGAGAGTGCCAGTTTCTCATGTTGATTTTTAGTTTATTTATCACAGATGTTCTTAATAATCAAGGTTGGATAACCATGATGGGGAAAGAAACTGCTGAGGCTGCATACCCATGGCATAGATCTGAAGGTAAGTATATGGCTCTGCCACAGTGGCTTTGGCATTGTGAACTGGTAATCTAATCAATTAGGAGTTAGGCAATCTTTCTTCTTAACTCCTTGGAGAGGAGTGATCAGCATTTACATCAGTAAATTTAACAATCCATGAGAACCCCCCACCCCCACCCCAATCAAACTTTTCAGATTAAAACAAATTCCCAAGTTCTCAAATTATATTGCCCCCAAATGAAAACTGCCCCATATTTAGTGCCACATTCCATGGACTTTGTCTACTTACTATTTCCTAACCAAGGAGCTAAAACACCCTACACCACTAAGTGGAACTGTTCTAAGTAAGAGACTACCACCAAATAGAAGGCATAGAGTTGACATCTAGGTTTAAAAGAAAGGGACAAAGACAGCCTGCCCTATTTCCAGAACTAAATGCCACGGTAAATGGCTTGGTTATGGTATTCATTTTTCTTTTCTTTTCTTTTCTTTTCTTTTCTTTTCTTTTCTTTTCTTTTCTTTTCTTTTCTTTTCTTTTCTTTTCTTTTCTTTTCTTTTCTTTTCTTTTCTTTTCTTTTCTTTTCTTTTCTTTTCCTTTTCTTTATGTATTTCAGTTATTTAGCATTCAATTGTCCTTTCACTTGTAGTAATAAAATCTTTGCTCTTGGCAGTACTCATAGAGAGGGGTGATGCTACAAGGGTACTGGGAACCTGAGTGTGTTCTCACCCTTCCACAGTTTCCTCCTGCTCTCTGAGAACCAGCTACATCTTGGCTGGAGAGGCTGCACACTGCCTTACTTTCATTATGTCCATCCCCTGATAACTCATTGCTGCTGTCTGCACACAGGGTGTATGTTGAACCAACTGTTTGTCTCCCAAACTCCCCACAGCTACCATTTGAATTGAGCCTTTGTCTTCCTGGACTACATGTTTGTCCACTCACACTGGATCCATGACTTCCAGAGTTACAGGACTGAGCTGAGCCTGAACCATGAGGTCCAAAGCTAGAAGACTGACACCTATATTGTGGATAGTCAGAGTATTGATCACATACAGACTCACATTGTCCATAACTAGAAGACTGCTGTGAATTTGAATTGTATTGCTGGTCTCCACAGTTTCCTGACTGACTGACTGAGCTCTGGCAAGATGATTGGCCTGACCCAGACCCATAGCTAGAGGGCTGTGCTGAGCCAGACCCACATTGTCCATAGCTGGAGGACTGATATGAACTTGAACTATATCCTTGTTCTCCACAAGTCACTGATGGACCACCTGAGCCAGATCCACAGCTAGAGGACTGACCATAGCTGGACCCATGTTGTCCGTAACTAGAGGACTGACCCGAGCCAGACCCACATTGTCCGTAGCTGGCGGACTGATGTGAACTTGAACTATGTCTTTGTCGTCCACAACTCTCTGACCGACCACTTGAGCTGGATCCATGTCGTCTGTGACTAGATGACTGTCCTGAACCAGACCCATATTGTCCAAAGCTAGATGACTGACCAGAGCAAGATGCATGTCGTCCATGGCTAGAAGACCGATGTGAACTTGAACGACTTCCTTGTCGTCCAAACCTCCCTGACTGACTACCTGAACTAGATCTGTGTCGTGTCTGGCTGGAGGATTGACCTGAGCCAGATCCACAGCTAGAGGACTGACCTGAGTCTGACCCATGTCCATGGCTAGAGGACTGGCCTGAGCCTGACCCATGATGACTATAGCTGGAGGACTGACCTGACCCTGACCCATGTTGGCTATAGCTGCAGGACTGACCTGACCCTGACCCATGTTGGCCATAGCTGGAGGACTGACCTAACCCTGACCCATGTTGGCCATAGCTGGAGGACTGACCTGAGCCAGATCCATGATGGCCATAGCTGGAGGACTGACCTAACCCTGACCCATGATGGCCATAGCTAGAGGACTGATGTGAACTGGAGTAATGTCCTGATCCTCTACAACTCTCTGATTGACCACTAGAGCCAGACTCATGTTGTCCATAGCTAGAGGACTGACCTGAGCCTGACCCATGATGGCCATAGCTGGAGTACTGACCTGAGCCAGATCCATGTTGGCCATGGCTGGAAGACTGACCTGAGCCTGACCCATGCTGGCCATAGCTAGAGGACTGACCTGAGCCTGACCCATGATGGCCATAGCTAGAGGACTGATGTGAACTGGAGTAATGTCCTGATCCTCTACAACTCTCTGATTGACCACTAGAGCCAGACTCATGTTGTCCATAGCTAGAGGACTGACCAGAGCCAGATCCATGTTGGCCATGGCTGGAGGACTGACCTGAGCCTGACCCATGTTGGCCATGGCTGAAGGACTGACCTGAACCTGACCCATGTTGGCCATAACCGGAGGACTGACCTGACCCTGATCCATGCTGTCCATAGCTAGAGGACTGACCTGAGCCTGACCCATGATGGCCATAGCTAGAGGATTGACCTGAGCCTGACCCATATTGGCCATAACTAGAGGATTGATGTGAACTGGAGTAATGTCCTGATCCTCCACAATTCTCTGATTGACCACTAGAGCCAGACTCTTGTTGTCCATAGCTAGAGGACTCACCTGAGCCTGATCCATGTTGTCCATAGCTGGGGGACTGATGTGAGCCTGACGCATGTTGGCCATAGCTGGAGGACTGATGTGAACTTGAATGATGTCCTGATCCTCCACAACTCTCTGAATGACCACTGGAGCCAGACCCATGTTGTCCATAGCTAGAGGACTGACCTGAGCCTGTTCCATGTTGTCCATAGCTGGAGGACTGACCTGAGCCTGACCCATGTCCATGGCTAGAGGACTGGCCTGAGCCAGATCCATGTTGGCCATAGCTGGAGGACTGACCTGAGCCTGATGCATGATGGCCATAGCTAGAGGACTGACCTGAGCCTGACCCATGATGGCCATAGCTGGAGGACTGACCTGAGCCAGATCCATGTTGGCCATGGCTGGAGGACTGACCTGAGCCTGACCCATGTTGGCCATGGCTGAAGGACTGACCTGAACCTGACCCATGTTGGCCATAACCGGAGGACTGACCTGACCCTGATCCATGCTGTCCATAGCTAGAGGACTGACCTGAGCCTGACCCATGATGGCCATAGCTAGAGGATTGACCTGAGCCTGACCCATATTGGCCATAACTAGAGGATTGATGTGAACTGGAGTAACGTCCTGATCCTCCACAACTCTCTGATTGACCACTAGAGCCAGACTCATGTTGTCCATAGCTAGAGGACTGACCAGAGCCTGACCCATGTCCATAGCTAGAGGACTGACCTGAGCCAGATCCATGTTGGCCATAGCTAGAGGACTGACCTGAACTTGACCCATGTTGGCCATAACCAGAGGACTGACCTGACCCTGATCCATGCTGTCCATAGCTAGAGGACTGACCTGAACCTGACCCATGTTGTTCATAGCTGGAGGACTGACCTGAGCCTGACCCTGATGGCCATAGCTAGAGGACTGATGTGAACCAGAGTAATGTCCTGATCCTCCACAACTCTCTGAATGACCACTAGAGCCAGACTCATGTTGTCCATAGCTAGAGGACTGACCAGAGCCTGACCCATGTCCATAGCTAGAGGACTGACCTGAGCCAGATCCATGTTGGCCATAGCTAGAGGACTGACCTGAACTTGACCCATGTTGGCCATAACCAGAGGACTGACCTGACCCTGATCCATGCTGTCCATAGCTAGAGGACTGACCTGAACCTGACCCATGTTGTTCATAGCTGGAGGACTGACCTGAGCCTGACCCATGATGGCCATAGCTAGAGGACTGATGTGAACCAGAGTAATGTCCTGATCCTCCACAACTCTCTGAATGACCACTAGAGCCAGACTCATGTTGTCCATAGTTAGAGGACTGACCTGAGCTTGACTTATGTCTGCCATAGCTTGAGGACTGATGTGACTCTGACCCATGTTGTCCATAGCCAGAAGACTGACCTGAGCCTGACCCATGTTGGCCATAGCTGGAGGACTGACCTGAGCCTGACCCATGCTGTCCATAGCTAGAGGCCTGACCTGAGCCTGACCCGTGATGGCCATAGCTGGAGGACTGACCTGAGCCTGACCCATGCTGTCCATAGCTAGAGGCCTGACCTGAGCCTGACCCGTGATGGCCATAGCTAGAGGACTGACCTGAGCCTGTTCCATGTTGTCCATAGCTGGAGGACTGACCTGAGCCTGACACATGATGGCCATAGCTGGAGGACTGATGTGAACTTGAATGATGTCCTGATCCTCCACAACTCTCTGAATGACCACTGGAGCCAGACCCATGTTGTCCATAGCTAGAGGACTGACCAGATTCAGGCTGGTGTTGTTCATAGGTAGGTGGTTGACCTGACCCAGACTCAGACCATTCATAGCTAGAGGACTGATGTGATCTGGAGCTATGCCTTTGTCCTCTGTCCCTCGCTCTTTCAGACCTCTCTTCTGGTACCTCAAATTCCCCTGACTGGCTGCTGCTGAATCCATGTCTTTCCCATCTACCTGAGTTACCAGTGCCAGATTCATATTCTTCTCCTCCAGATTTTCTGGAGGGGCTAATACTTAACTTATGTCTCCTTCCCCCATGCTTGTTTGCTTTGGATCCATATTTCTCTTGGCTACTACTCTCTGAGTGGCTTGATCTTGATCTATGATAGCTCCTCCCTGAGCCTTCCCCATGCCCTGAATTATATGAGGAATCATTCCTTTCCCACCCAGTAGAGCTAGACCCATGCCTATGGCCCCTGATCCTATGTGATTGCCCAGATTTGGATGACCCAAATCCCTCTCTTGAGCTCCAGCTTGAATGACTGGAGTCTGACTCTTGGCCTGTTGACTCTTCCTGTTCCTCTGTTTCACTTTGTGCCTCCTGATGATGGTGACCTTGGTGTTTCTGCTTTGACCCTGAAGCATGGCAGTATTCTTTGACGACGGATTTGTTGCAGGCCATGGTCAACTTGAATACCATCAGTAGATACTCAGTAAAGTCTACTCTTCTGTCATGGTCCCGGTCCAGGATTTGCATGAAGACATCCACAGTATCAGGATTGTTGGGATTCTATGTAGGAACAAGGTACAAGGGATAGCCCATGAGTCTAGTGTCCATTCCCCACTGATGAAGTGAAGGAAAATTGTCAAAACGTGTGTACTGGCAGGACCCCACTGGAGGGAGCTCCACTTGGGCTAACAACCTGACAAAGCTCATAGGTATTAGGTGAAAAAGATTGAGGGAATGAGAGCATAGGAGTAAAGGGAGTGAAAAGAGATGAAAGGCAGCTGGTGTACCTAGTGTATGAAATGAGTCAAATATAAATAATATGTCTAATGTAAATCAAGTATTTTGGATCAACTATCATTAGATGTGATAGAACTTAGCACAATGCCTAGCACATAGTAAATGTTAACTGACTGACTAGATGTAATTGACTTCCTGTTATTCACCCATCTTAATTTCTCCAGATTGATTTTGGAGGTACTTTGTCTCTTTCGGGGTACCTAAAATGCTATCATTGAAGATTGATTGTTTTCTTTAGGGGTTGTAATTTTGCCTAGGAAGAGGAACAGACCTAGTCAAGAACACATTCATATGAACTGGTTTTCAGATTATCTTTCTCTAGACAGAAAGAACTTGGAAAAAGAGGAAAGCCCTGTGCCCCAGGAGCTAGGGTGGGGTCAGTGATGGGGATAGGTATCCCTGTGCCTAAGAAGGACAGAGAAAAATTAGAGGAAGACAACTGAAGACAAGTTTCATCTACTTATCACTTTTTCCAGGACCAGCCTTTTGTTCAGGCACATAAGGAATCCTAGTAAATTAATTAACTTTTTTTCAATTCAGTTTAACTTAACTTTCATTTATTGACTGTCTACTTCATACAAGTATTGTTCAGTGGTTACAATGCTGGAGTCATGAAGATTCATATTCAAATCCTGTCTCTGATACTAGCTTTGTGACCATGAGTAACATGTTTATAATCATTACTAGGATTATAATAATAACATTATGATATATAAATACATATAATATATAAATAATGTAAAATATAACATTCATATATGTACATTATATATATCATAAAACATCATTTTACAACATAAAATTACGAACATAATTGTTTGTAATAGTTTCTAGGATTTGTGTAACATTTTACAAATATTAATTTATTTTATTCTCACAGCAACTCTGGGAGGCAGGTGCTATTATTATCCCCATTTTACAGGTGGGGAAACTGAAACTGGGGGAGGTTAAGTGACTTGTCCAGGGTCACACAGGTAGTAAGTGTCTGAGGCGAGATCTGAACTTAGGTTTTCCTGACTCTGAGTCCAGTGATCTGTTCGTGGTGCTGTCTAGCTGCCAACTTTTCTGAACCTCAGTCCAGCTTGTACTCATGAGTTTGATTTTTTGAACTTATGTATATGAAAGTAGGTGCTTAATAAGTGCTTGTTTTCTTGACATGAATCTTATCTTATTAGATTCTTCTCAGTGCTCCAGCCTGCCAAGACCTTACTGGGTCTTGACACCACCATACAGTGTATTATCTTTCCACTTAGCAGAAAACACTCAAGGCTGAAATGTCAAGAATTAAAGGAAACTGACCAGTGGTTAATAAAATATCCATTAACTTAAAGGTAGTAACACCATAGAGAAAGGCACTATTATCATTCAGCCATGTCCTGTGGCCACCTAGTTCTGCATCTGTAAACTAGGCATGTGACAGCCCTGTCATGGGACTGTTGAGAAGTTCATAGGAAGTAATGCAGGGAAATTATAATGCAAACTTGAAAGCATCACATACGTGTTAGATACGGTGATTACTATGTCAAATCCCAGAATGTTTTCTACTAGACTCCGAAGTGGGACATTGAGAAGGTAAATAATTTTTGCCTGCTATTGACTAGGAAGAAATCTTTGGGCAAGACTAGCCTGGATATAAAACATGTGACTTCATGGACCACTGGATTCAACAGACAGCTCTTACCTTCAGAAGTGGACCCATCTCTTTTTCCAAAAGTTCCTTGAGTTCCTTTTTGCACATGGTGTCACATTCCTCATCCTGGCCACAGTAATTGTAGAAGACGTCAATTACTTCAACAATGCTTCTTAGGAGCTGAGACATCTTGTAAGGTGAGGTGGACCTGAAGTGGGGAAAGAGACATTACTTTTTACTTATCATTAATCATTAATTTTATTTATCATTGTTTTGTAATGATATTTTTCCTTCCTATACATCCTCAGTAATCATTATCAAGAAAAATAATCATGCGTATATTTTATATCCCTGATCTCTTTGACCCTTGAAGCCCCTTAATGGGGAAATATGGAGTGGGGCCAATTAACCCCTTTTGTTGTAATGAAACACTAGCTGAGAAGTTAAGCTACTCATCTCAGCTAGCCAGTAGAGTCTAATCTGAAAGCCTGGATTCTCACTCTGGTAATAATGCAGAACAGGGATTTCAACTTTTATATGCTTTGCCTGGAGAAGGATTAAGTGCCTTCCTATGTCCTGAGCTCCCCCATATCTTGAGTCTGCATTCACATATTTCAGTCTCTCATTCAATGCCTCAGTCCATTTCTATAGCCCAGATTTAGCATTTAGTGGTTATTTTATTTGGATTTATATTGCGTATTTCTAGCTAGAGGTAGCTAGGTGGTGCTGTGGTTAGTGTTAGGCCTGCCTGGAGGAAGGAAGGCTTGTGTTCAAATCCAGCCTGACACTTACTAGCTGTGTGACCCCAGGCAAGTCACATAATCTCTGCCTACCTCAGTTTCTTTTAACTATAAAATGGTGGTAATAATAACACCTGCCTCACAGATTGTCCTACCCTCTTGTGAGGATCTAATGAGATATATTTGAAGGCTTCAGTTGTCTTTTGTCTCTTTTTGTATCCCTAATGTTTAGCATAGTGCCTGGCACATAGAAAATGATTAATCAATGTTTATTGATTGATAAATATTTGTAAAACTTTTAGCACATAATAAGTGGTTAATACTTCCTTCTTCTTTTCCTACTCCCTCCCTCCCTTCCTCCCTCCTTTTCTTTCTTTCTTTCTTTCTTTCTTTCTTTCTTTCTTTCTTTCTTTCTTTCTTTCTTTCTTTCTTTCTTTCTTTCTTTCTTTCTTTCTTTCTTTCTTTCTTTCTTTCTTTCTTTTTTCTTCCTTCCCTTCCTTCCTTCTTCCTTCCTTCCTTCCTTTCCTTCCTTCCTTCCTTCCTTCCTTCCTCCTTCCTTCCTTCCTTTCTTCCTTTTCTTTCTTTCTTTCTTTCTTCTTTCTTTCTTTTCTTTCTTTCTTTCTTTCTTTCTTTTTCTTTCTTTTTTCTTTCTTTTTTCTTCTTTCTTTCTTTTCTTTCTCTTTTCTTTCCTTTCTTTCTTCTTTCTTTTCTTTCTTTTTCTTTCCTTTTCCTTTCCTTCTTCTCTTCTTTCCTTTCTTCTTTTTCTTTCTTTCTTTTCTTCTTTCTTTCTTCTTCTTCTTCTCTTCTTCTTCTTTCTTTCTTTCTTTCTTTTTTTTTCTCTTTTTCTTTCTTCTTCCTTCCTTCTCTTCCTTTCTTTCTTTCTTCTTTCTTTTCTTTCTCTTCTTTTCTTTCTTTCTTTTCCTTTTCCTTTTCTTTCCTTCTTCCTTTTCTTTTCTTTTCTTTCTTTTCTTTCTTTCTTTCTTTTTTTTTCTTTCTTTCTTTCTTTTCTTTCTTTTCTTTCTTTTCTTTCTTCTTTCTTTCTTTTCTTTCTTTCTTTCTTTCTTTCTTTCTTTTCTTCCTTCCTTCCTTCCTTCCTTCCTTTCCTTCCTTTCCTTCCTTTCCTTCCTTTCCTTCTCTCCTTTCCTTCCTTCCTTCCTCCCTTTCATTGGGCTAGAATCAATGACTAGATCTTACATAATTATAACTTCAAATAGTGAGAATTTGAATACATTCAATCACTTTACAAGGTTCATTATTCACACTACTCTGGATCTTAACTGTCTATGACTTCATCATTCCTTGAAGTGATGCCTCTCTGTATCAGACCCCAAATTGCATTACCTTTTTTTTTTTTTGGTTGCATCATCATACTGCTGACTCATGATGATCCTGTAGTCCACTAAAACCGCTAGATCTTCTTCAGACTCACTGTGGTCTAAACATGCCTTCTGTATGCTGTACTTGCAAAACAGATTCTTTTGGAACCCTTCCCCACAATTTATTTACATTGATCTCTTTTGAATCTTATCTTATTACAATTATCTTAGAGCTTTAGCCCAACACAATCTTATTGAATGCTGATTCTTGTCATCCAGTGTATTAATTTTTCACTTGACAAGAAAAAAAGAACTGGCAGAACCATTCAAGTCATAGAAAACTGACTGAAGCTTGATAGAATGTCCATTAACTTAAAAGCGTTGACATGGTAGAAAACAGTAAGATACTATTAGTACCTCCCTGTCATCTTACGGCCTATTTGAATGAAATAGTCCAGCAATTCCACATTTGCATTGGTGGCCTTAGAAGAGCCAGACTTTTTTCTTATTTTCCCCCAGGATAGAGAGGAAGTTGCACTAACAATGGTCTTGAAGCAGATGAAGAACAAAGCTTCACTAACAATATCATAACATACCAGAACTAAAGGAAACTTAAGATCATCTTGTCCAACACCCTTATTTTAGAGATGAGACTCAGAGCATTTAGGCAAAGGGCTAAGGTCACATAGCTACTAAGTATCAGAACTGGAATCCAAACGCAGTTTTTCTTACTCCAATTTCAGTATTCTTGTCAACATATTAGCCTAATTCCTATATTTCCACTTACAGTAACCATGATGTGCTATAATCTTCATTCAACTAGGTAGATTGACTTACCCTAGTTCACCAAAGGAACAGGTAGGATGGAGGCTGAACTAGCTTGCAGGGTACCTTCTGTCTAAAATGCTGTGAGTTTTATAGTGGGTTTAATTGTCCACCTTGGGATGGTGACACCCATTCTGTGGGATGACCTGATTCATCCCAACCAAACCCAAACCTCCACCCCCATCCTTAGGAACATTTGTTTAGTGAACTGCCTTCTTACCTACTCATCTGTGATTGCATAGACAGCTCCCATATTTGGATCAGTATCAGCCACACCTCTCATTGGATTAGAACATTGTACAGAAGGGCCTCTATTGGCACCATAAACTCTGAGGATAGGGATTATAAGATTTGGAGTTGGCAAGAGGCTTAGTAATCATGTAGTCCTACTCCCTGATTTTAAAGATGGGGAAACCGAGACCATATCTTGCCCCTCTTTTGTATTTCTTGCATTTCTTAGTTGCATTTGAAGCACATATTTACTGAACAAGTACTTGTTGAATAGAGCTAAAAGTAAATTATATCTGTGGACAAGAAAGGTGGAAAAGGAATTAAGAGGAGGTGACCAATTATTTATGAAGCACCTCCTATATGCCATGCACTGTGCTAAGTACTTTACAAATATCTCATTTGAACCTCACAACAATCCTTGCGATAGGCGGCCCTGGGATCAACCAGTGAGCTTCTTGGACTGAATCCATTCAAATGATGTAAACAGCCTTTTGGAAGGAATAGGAAGATCTCAATAAGGAAGAGAGTGAACAATTGTGATCCACAATTAGAGCTCTTCTGGGCTTGTGTAATGGATATGTGTATAAATAGAACATTTTGGGCATCTTTATTGCTTGTGACCCTTCTTCCATAGCCTTCTGTTACCTGTATCACTCACCACAAATTGCCATCCATTAGATCTTCCCTATTAAAGTCAAGGACACCATTCTTCTAGTCACCCACTTGCACAAACTCCTTGTCTTCCTGGACTCCATGCTTTTATGCATCCCCAATATATAGTTAGTTGCCAGCTTTTCTACCTCTATACTATCTCTCCAATATGTCACCTCTCTCCCCTTATACAGCCACTAACCTAGGCCTGTATCCCTTCTCTTCTGTGTTATTACAATGACTTTATAATTTGTGTCCCCAGTCCAATCCATTTTTCACACAGATGCCAAATGGATTTTCCTAAAGAACAAATCTGACCATGTCACTAGCCTACTCACTAAGCTCCAGTGATTCCCTATTACCTCCAGGATCAAAAGAAAACCCTTCTGCTTGACATTTCAAGACCTTTACGGCCATGCCTCAATCTATCTTTCCAGTCTTATTAGATGCTACTCCCTTCTGTCAATAGTTTATCTCAGCCAAGCTGACCTCCTTAATATCCTTCATATTCAGTATTCCATTTCCCATTTTCATGCTTTTATACTGGCTATCTCCTATACTTGGAATACTCTCCCAGTTCTCATCAAAGCTATCTAGCCACTCCTTGGCTGAAGCCATAGAGGCTGCCAAACTGCACCAATTCCCTTCCTTTTCCTTCCATCTCAGTTTGCCTGGGTTCATTGCTCTGAGATTTCTTGATTGCTTATTTGGGAAAGCTCCCCACTAATTATATTCATTAATTCCTCACACACACCTCAGTACGATTTTATTTTTTCACTTTAGTCTATGGTTCCCCCCCCCCAAAGGGGAATTAACAAAAGCTATCCAATGCACAAATATAAATCAGGTATAAGACAGGTTTATTCCCACACAGAAAAGGGATTGCTAAACATAAAAGAACTGAAGAATATATTTTAGAATGATTAACTTATCAGTCCTAGTGCAATCAGTTGGGAGGCATTTCATATCCAGATATTTTGGGAACATAAAGTTTTTGTTTTATTTTACAAGACTGACAATTAGCCTTTTACCTCTGCTAAGCAATGTCTGATCCAAGCAGGTCCTTCTTTCTGGTGGTCTTGCTGATTCTTCCCTTGACACCATTGTACTCTGCTGCCACCACAATCACAATCACTCTGAGAGATACCGTTGTTCCTTCCTAGCACTAGCAGGCTTTCAGTACCTTTTGATGCTCCCAAAGATTATACTGACAGATGGTGTACAAGATGAGTCTAGTACAAGATAACTAGTTGACTCTGTACTACGCATGGGCTTTGTTGTTGTTCAGTCATTTTCAGTCATGTTCGACTCTTTGTGACTCTCTTTGAGGTTTTGTTAATAGAGATACTGAAGTGGCTTGCTGTTTTCCTCTCCAGCTCATTTGACAGATGAGGAAAGCAAGGCAAACAGAACTAAATAATTTGTC